AGCTAGTTTCATATACGTACAATGTATTATACAAGTTTCCTACCTAGGAAGCGATTGTCAACGGTTCATACTGTACTTACAAACATGGCGGCCTTGATTACCAACAGTGAAATAATTAATAAACGAAATACTGTGAGTGTTGAGTTAAGATAATGCTTAATCTTGTGCATTATATATATACTAGCTGACTCGGCAAACGTTGTTTTACCATATACATTACTTCGAGAACTATACATGACAATTTTTCATACTACAATTATTATATTCGATTGCCATCTTGCAACCCTATTGCGTCATATAAAAATCGCGATTAAAAAACAAGAATTGATCGTAGAAGCGTGAAAATTTGATATTGTATGTAATTTACAATGCTAAATCATAATAAAATAATAATACAAAATTTTGTCAAAAAAAATAATAAAAAATATTTAGTGACCCACCCTTATTATTGAGGGGTATGAAAAATACATGTTGGCCGATTCTCAGACCTACCCGATATGCACACAAAATTTCATAAAAATCGGTAAAGCCGTTATATATATATATCGCCCAATTCGGAAATTCCTCCTTTAAGAAATTACCTTAAAATCAGATAAATTGAGAGAAATAAAAAAAAAAATTTTTGAAGTAGCTTGCAGACAATGTATTATCATTTACAATTATGAATATTCAATTCTTATGGTATTAAAATGGGCGCAACATCCAAGTAATGAACAAGCAAAATGGTAAAAAAGTGAAAGCGGTTCCAACTAGATCAGTACGATAGTAAGCCATGTGATTTTAACGCCGACGCGTACCGCTAGCCAGATAACGAGATACGAATGAGAATTTATTATTAAAAAAAAAAATATGGCATAATGGCTGACAGAATCAGAGTTCGCTAACACTTACTGCAACTGTTGGAGAGTTATAAAAGAAGATATGTCTATGGTTTAGTCTTCTTTCATATTAAAAAGAAATATTTTAAAATTTATGATTTTTGGTTTGTGGACATTCTAACCATATCCTGAAGATATGGCGATAGATATACCTTGAAGATATACTTTGTTAAAACATGGAAATATAAACTTTCTACTGAAGATCAGGCTGTATATGTTAGTTCCTTTGCCTTTCTCATTGTGGATAAATTCTACTACTTCTACTGTTATTTTCGTTAGCGACAGTGTAAAACTCCAAAAATTCAAGAACTCGACAATTTGTTCTGAGAAAATAATATTATTTATTTTGAATTTTATTTATTTTTTAAAATAATAACTACAGTAAATATTAATGTGAAACGATACAAAAGGCGGCTTTATCGCTAAGCAGTATCCTCCAGACCACCTTTGGGTAGAGGACATTGAGAAAAAGATAAAGGGTAAAATAAACTAAATATAGTATAATAAACAAAAAATAATAATAAAATTGTGTTTTCTTTTTTACATCACAAAAGTGGTAAACCGGCATACAGCCTATCTGATGGTAAATGGTTACTAACCTATAGACGCCTATAATACTAGGGATGTCACGTGCGTGTTGCCAAGCACCTTAATACATCCTTTTTGAAGAACCCCATACTGTGGTCTCTAGATAAAACCACGGCAGGGATCACATTCGACAGACTGGGCGTTCGCGGGAGGAACTCCTCTAAAACCGCACTGTACGCGGTCGTTTAGGTTTAAGCGTGTAAGGATGAATTCCCTGTCGATGGCGAGCAGTGCGATAATAAAAAGTGGTTGTGGGTATTATTTCTACCAATTCCTCGGATCATAATCCGTTATAAAAGCGATACACAAAAGGGAGGCAAAGTTTCTATAGACTTAAGGTCTTGATACCGCCCGTAAGCTTCAGATCGTCGACGATTCTTATAGCCGTTTTTGATCCGAGTCAAGAGGACAAAACTGGCATCCAGGTGCTATGAAAAACAAAAAAAAACAAAATTCGCCAACAGATGAGAGTAGTATTCTATGATGGCCCGGACTTACGACTTATACAACAGTAGTCTTTGTCCCGGGGTGAAGAACCTTTCGCTTGACTTTAATCATCCCATTCCCTTCAAACCGAAACACAGCCATGCAAACACAACTGCTTCACGGTTAAAACACGAATGGGACAGAGGTATCCAAGCAATCGACTTTTGTACAAAGTCTCCCTCTGACATGCAAAGCAGTAATAGGAAATAATACATATATAAGCGATGACTAGAAAGTGACTCCACTTGGGTGACCTTCAATTAAATTAGTCAGGCATTAGTCTGTCTGCGCATACAGACACAGTAAACAATTACAAGTGTTTCGTTTATGAAAATATGTGTGAAATTGTTAAATTAAGTATTGTCATCAATGTATACTTGCGCAGTTTTAAAATTCACACAGTTGGGTAATGAGGGTACTTTAAAGAGATGAAAATGGAATGGTAGTTGTGTCTATGTCATCATATCAGCCTTTAACTGTCCACTGCTTAACATAAACCTCCCTTTTTTTGGTAGTTGCCATGCTTGGCAGGCGATTTGGTAAGCAGTCAGGCTTTGAAGATGTTTTAAATGGGATGCTGCTGCCCATCTCTCGCCCAGACTTAGTTGCCTCTTACGACACCTATGGGAAAGGAAGTGGTAGACTATTCTGTGCCGAGACCTCACGGCGACTCGCCTATGTGATCGGTATAAATTCGCATGACACCCATGTAGGATCGGTATCATCATCATATCAGCCCTTAATGGTCCACTGCTGAATATAAGCCTCCAGCTTGGTGGATTTTGCCAGTAGTTGCCACACTTGGTAGGTGGATTGGTAACCGCAGTCAGGTTTTGAAGATGTTTTAAAAGGAATGCTGCTGCCCATCCCTCGCTATTCTCCAGTTGTCTCTTACGACACCTATGGGAAAGGAATTGGTGGCCTATTCTATGCCCGAATCACACGGCGACTCATTTATGTAATCGGTATAAATTCGCGCGACATCCATGTAGGATAGGTTTTTTTTTATACCACTGAGGTGGCAAACAAGCGGAACATACGGCCTACCTGATGGTAAGGATATAGTCAAATCAGTTGGCGAATTCATCAAGAGTATGCTAACCAGTAATGGGACAGTTAGTGCCTGTTGCTAAAAATACTAATAATTCCCTCTTCTCCCAAGATTCCAGGGGAAACTGTGAGAAAGTCGACCTGACAACTATGGGGCCGCTTGTCCCCGTTATTAATAATCTCTCCCCCACACTGTGGAAGTGACTGAGGATAAGGTTTCTGGTAAATAGATATTGGTCAACACAGACAAACAGAGTAGAGGTGAAGAGTAGTAAATCTGTTCTCAAAGATGCACTGAGTATCATGCAGGTCACATGTCAAACTGTTATCTATACCTATATGCACAATCTGTTATACCAATTTTAATCTTATGTAAAAGTAACTAAAGTCAACTTTTATTTATTTATTCATTAGTACAAATATGTGTACATGGAGGACTTAATGCTAAAAGCATTCTTTCCCAGTCAACCATAGGGAAGTGTCAGAATACTCGAATGCAGTACTACTAAATATTGATATACATACATACTAAAATTACATATTTAAACGAATAAATATATATGAATAACAAATATACTTACACATATATGATATATACTATATTATGCACGAAACTGAGAATAATATAAAGCACTTACTGCTTGGATAAAGTAAGAAAGTGAGCATGAACACTTTTTTTTAAAGACGGTTTAGTCGGTAGTCTCTTAATGGCACTTTACTCTGTATTAACTTTTTCTACCTACTTTAAACACATATATAAGAAATTCCTCCCCACCACTTTGTCAATCTGTAATGATCCTAAAATATGCAGTTCGCAAATTGATGGTACAAATTTACTGCTTCAAATACCAAAATTTAAAAAAAAAATATAAACTTCTTTAAGCATATTTTACTTTCTCCCAAATATTTCATCACAAATTTTATTTCACCAAAATTTCATGCACAAATTTTTTTTTGTCAAATTTGAAAAAAGAAATACCTAGTTTGTCAATGCTGATAACATGACTGATGTAGTATCTATTGTTTGCATTTACCCCTATCAAAAGGTTTAAGTACGTAAATATTTTTTTTTAAAATAAATATTTATATGCAATTAGAAAACCCAAAGTTAAAGATGCAAACATAATATATGTGTAAGGGGGTGCAAATTAATTACACATACATAAATAGTACATACACACACAAATGCACTTTTTATTTTCTGCCTATTAAAATTATAAATGTGCTTTCATATTATACTTGTATGCATTTCTAAAAATTATTCTAATATGTCTTATTTCTTACAATAATAGTATATGTACATACTCATAATTAAGTACAGATATAATGTAATAAAAAATGTATCTCTAGCATAGTAATACAATTAAAAAAAAATTATTAGTGACTAGCCAGACCAGCCTCTAGCAATACACCTCATAAGGTCAACCGTTTAGTGGTCTTCACAGGAAATCCTCATGGATGATTTGTTTTTTTATGCAACTTAGAATGGCAAACAAGCTGACCTGATGGAAAGTGGTAACCGTCACCTATAGACATGAGCAGTACCATAGACATAACAGAGTATACTGTTTTACCCATGATACACCCCATGCATTGCCATTCCTGAAGACTAAGGTGTTACTCCTCTGTACCCTGTAAATTTACCACCTCGTTCCTGGCAAATTTATCATATACCCTATCAATATATTCTGATAGTGTAATCAGGGTCACCATTATGTTATCACTCATAATAAAATTAGGGAGATAGCTAGAGAGGGAATGTCCTCCTTCCTTCTTATTTAAAATAAAAACTTCAAAATTTTTACTAATCAGTTCTTCATTTGAAACAAATTATAAAGTTATTTTAAAGAGATTAAAACACTTCAGCTACAAAGATCACTATCTTCTGAGACATGTAAAGTTAAAAACTTTCAATATATCAAAAAACTAACAAAAATTTCAAATTTAACAAGTACAGAAATAATATAAACATATGTATATTAAAATGGTACAACTTACCTTACTCTCAGCAAATCCATCAGGGTTCAGGGACGGCATTAGGTGTATATCAGTAGTGTTCACCAGTCTGGTGATCCTTTCGTCCTTCCCATAGTTGATCAGGAGGTACTGGGCCAGGTAGATCACCAATTGCCTACCAAGTGATTCGTCGCCATGCATATTGGCTACATATTTGAACGCCGGCCGCCCCGGGTGCACATTATTCACATCCTGAGTGATTTCCAACACTAGTAACTCTCTACCAGCCACCGATTCGCCGATAGAGTAACTTCTCGCTAAATTCGGGTAACTTTTTTCTAATCCATCGAATAAGGTAATTAAATCTTTGTACGTAGTGTACTTAGGCTTAGCCAGGAACGTTTCGTCGTCTTCTATAGAACGTGGCGTACATTCACTAATGAATAAAGTTAATATCACAAAGGTGCACGCATGAGTTATAGAACCCATTTTATTTTAGTGAGCTTATTTTTTTGCGGCAGTTTTAGGGTTATTTTTATTTGTTTTGGCGTATACACATAGTTATCATTGTCCGAAAAGTATACCTAATGGGTTATTCTAATTGGAATATAATTTTACACGAAACAATTAGAATTGAAAGACTACCTTCTTATTTTGATACTCTACTTTAACAACAATCGAAGTGAAATGATTAATGAAATAAAATTACGTCAAGCAAAATGACAGGCGGACAGGAAGTGACTGAAACTGATTGATGGGGTTGCTACTTTGGCTATAAATTTAATAGCTAAATAGTGACTAAAAGTGACATCGTTTATAAATATAGTACATTTGTAAAAGTTCCTAAACTAAAAATGTATATAAAATCTATTATAAATGTACAAAAAGAAACAAGTAAACTTTGTTCCACAAAGAAGAATATCAACTTCAAACATAAAAAAAACAGTTATTTTGATTTAAAAACCAAATTACTGACTCCATTTTGATAAAAATTTTATGGGATAAATATGAAAAAATATCTTTGCAAATAAAAAAAAAGAAATTTTGATATTTGTTTTTAAATGACAGAGTTATGAAAAATGAAGTCGATTAAAATGAATAAACTTTTAATGATATTAAACCTAATTATATAATTACATTACCAATACTTGATAATAAAAAGAAGTGACCTCATATTTTACTTTATACAAACAAATGCCGTAAAGTATGGAACTTTGTAAAATATAACAATTTAGTTATTAAGCCCATTATGTGTGGAAAATAGTAAAAAGTTATAAATTTTTTTTTGCATTTAATGCGACTTGATTTTAAGTAAATAAAACGTACATACTGAGATTTTTATTATAGACGAATAAAGAAAAATAATAAAGATAGAAAACAACATAAGAAAATGTGTATAGAAATATTCAAAATGATCAAATTAGCCTTTTTTTTTTAAATTTTTTTTTACTAATAGTTTCTAGAATTATTCAAAAAGTGGCTAATAAAGCACTCCAACGTTGTAAATGGCTGATTGTATTTCGCCTGTCAACCAGCTGACACTTGACAGCAAGACATATTTACAGTTGCCATAATAAAAAATTCTGTCCTTTTAATTTTTATAGGAACTACATAAGTCTGTTTTTGAAAAGTAAGAAAGGTAGATGTAAGTTTCATGGGTCAACAAAGATGGTCCATAGACGTAGTATAATGTACTATTGATCCTATTTCGTGTCGTATCTTGTTGTAATAAGAATTATTTTTATTTCTTTTAATTTTACACTTAATACTCGCAAGGTCGTGCGAGTTCGAACCTATAATCTAAAAAAACTATTTTCTTTTTCTACATATTAATTATATCTATAGTCATAAGCAAAAATTGTGTGAAATGTTGTTCTTGATGTTACCGTAATGACGTTCAGATGATAACAACAGCAATTATGGACCTTTTATTCCATGCGTTCGTAGAGGGCGGGGGGGAGTGTGAAATATAGAAAGATTTTACTTTAAATTTACTTTAGCTTGGCTTGATTTTGTTCCAAGGTGTACTAATGGATGTCCATTCTCTGGTTCATAACAGAGTTAATTTAAAAACTAACGATTAGTTAAATGTGATTGTATGGAATGTAATGTAACCATATATAAATAATAACAAACGGAAAAGTGCACAAATAAAACATTATAATAAAAATAATTACATACTTTATTTAAGCTCACTCTTAATAATTCATAGGATTGTGCGTTCACATTTAACATAAACAGAGGAATTAAACTAGAGACTTCACATAACATAGATACACGTATGCAGTTTTCGTATAACGCTATATATAACAATAAAATAATAATTGGTACCCACCACAATATTCTATAATAAATAGAACATAATTACAAATTTATTTGAACACAGTGTGTTGCCAGTGTAAATATTACAAGGCACCTTTTTATTTTTTTTTGGTTAATGTTGTGCTAAGGTACAAAGATAAAAATTCTTTCATATTTCCTTTCTGGGCTCTACTTTTTACATTTTAGATAAAATCGTAGTTTTTTTTTGTTCCGACTGTAATTATTATTTTATATTTATGATTATTTTTGTCACTTGACTCATAACTATTTTATTACCAAAATGATTGTAAAAACATGTAACTTATTTAAATTTATTAATTGGCATTGGTTACTATGCTAGATCATGGCATGGAATTAATAAAATATTTAATTAAATAAAATAATAATCTATATTTTGGTAATAAAATACTATGAAGTTAAAGTGAGTAACATAGTAAGTATCAAATCAAAATATATTTATATAAGTTCATATAAAACAGTATCTAATAGATTTAATTAACGGTTAATAAAAATTCGTTTCTCGCTTTTAATAATAAATTCACATAACTAAGAATTAGAACATCTGAGTTAAGTCAGTTTACTATTAAGAGTCATATTTATTTACTGTTTTCCATAATTTATTTATTATTTTACCAATAAATTGTTCCCTTTTGTATTTAATACATTTATTACAGAAAATAATTGTATTTTTTTTTTAAATTTTGACATCTGGTTTCGCTTTGAAAATCTGGGAAATAAAATTATAAGAAATAATATGATCTGACAAACCTAGTTCGGACTGTTTTAGTAAGTTTGACGAGTACTATATTAAAATAGTTCAGTTGAACAAATTCGATTAAAATATGGTTCAGACATTTTTAGTAATTAAACTACTCACCAGTTTACTAAATCAGTTCAAATCTTACACTCCAATTATTTTATTATGTTGTGAAATATCAATCATTTAAGCTTTTGAATTTAAACAATATTTACAATTATTTAAATATTTTTAAAGAGTAAAATAACATTAATTAAATAATATTATAAACTATATAGATTGTTTATATTAAAAAAAAAACAATTATTGTGAAGAAATTATTATACAAATTGTTCTCGAAATGGCGGTGAATATCAAACAATTAGAAACAGGTTCTTTATTCAAATATAATTACGTAATTTTAGAATTTAAAAAAGGAAACTATTTCATTCTTTTCGAAAAGCTAGCGAACACACAATAAAATCAGACGTCACTTTAAAATATAAACGGATAACTTATTAATTTTAGCGTTAACTTATTTACATTTTATCATGTAACATTAAATAACACATGAATCATTTAACGATACATTTATCACAGAAGAATTTACAACACTAGACGATCTAACAATAAACAGGTGGAAATAAAATAATGTAAAAACAAACCAAATTAACTATTTGGTAAATCCTATGGCTTAAGAGTTATTAACTCAGGCAGTTCTCAATATTGAGAGTACAATATCAGTCAGTCGGCTAGGGCGCTTACATTAAACATTTATCAAAAAATTTACCATAAAAAACACGTGCTGAGTTTTCACGATTTCTTTTTTGGGGCGTAATTTATATCGCATATTTTTTTCCATGAGAGCTTCAACTTCAGTTTAGAAATTATGTGGAAAAAAAACGCTTATTGAAAATTGCAGCGCGTGTTACCTTTATGGGTGTTTTCAAAGACCTGTGTATTTAGTTTTTCACGGGGTATTACATGGGATTAAGTGCGTAATAAATAATTACCGTATGGTCCCGATACAGAATGGGCCACGCCTTCCTTTCCCCCTGGGAGTCGTAAGAGGCGACTAATTTAATGGTCGTCGTCTCTCTTAGAACATCACCAAAGCATAACAGCAGATGCTAACTCGCCTGTCAAGCATGGCATTACTGGCAAGACTTCCCTTATAGTGGAAGACTATGTCCAGCAGTGGTTCATCCACACCTATCATCTCCCACTGGTGCCCCGCCAGCGTATACCGTTAGCACAGGCGGGGCTACCATTCCAATATTGTTAAGGATTGTTAGTAATGGAGATTGGGAATCCCATTGCTAGCAATATACCCAACCAGGTCGACCTCCTCACGGTTCTCCCTGGAAACTATCATGGTTAATTCCTGGTGAATTCATCATGATGGGCTAACTGGCCGGTTTTCATTCTCATCTATCCCCCTTCACTGGTGCTCCGCCAGCGTATCCCGTTAGCGCAGGCGGGGTTACCATACCATTTTCACCCATAAAAAAAAAAAAAAACTACACTTCAGTACGTGCTGAATTTACAAGTACACGATATTTATAATTATTATGCTATTATATAAGGTTTTAAATCGAAATTTAATAGCATTATTTTAAGGGAGTATTCTATAAGGGATACTGAATATTTTTACTAACAATATGGGTTCATTAACACGAAAAAAAAAATCTCTCTCTTACTAATATGGGACGGCTATCTTTAGTTAGATCGAAATTTTTTGGCGTTTTCGACACTTTATGACAGTGAATTTAAAGGGTACAGAGATATAACACCTGAGTCCTCAGGAATAGCAACTCATATCATGGGCGAAACAGTATACTGTATTATGTCTATAGGCGACGGTTACTACTTTCCATCAGGTGGACCGTCAGCTTGTTTGCCATTCTAAGTTGCATAAAAAAGTTCTTTTTTGAAAAAAATGGAAAAAAGCTTTAATATCTCTCAGCAATAATTTCAATTATAATATACAGGTTGTATATTTTGTGCTTAAAAATTATGAAGGCTCAAATAACTTTAGTTTTACATAATGAATTTTTTTGTAGACAAATTGTATCTTATACAATTATATAATACATGTAAAAGGCATAAGAATGGATTTTTATTCTACGATATTTATTTATACAAGGCACGGCAAGGCAAACTTATAATACTTTTACATTTCAGCTAAATCTTACAATTAAATAGGCACAAACGGTACCTATAAATGTAAACGAGACGAATTCAGGACATATGTGGCTTTTGCTAATACTTCTCTAATATTATTTACGATTGATTTATTTTTATTAAATTTAAAATAAACTTTAAGTTTATTTAAATTTCTTAAGGCTGTAATTCGCTCACTATTGTTAATGTACATTTATTAATACTTAATAGATATTTATTTATTTAAAAAATATGCATCTGGCAATAAAATTCAAGTTAGGCATAGACAAAGTCTCAGTGGCTTTTTTATATCAAAATATTATTATCTTAGATTATATAGATAGAACATTAAATGTCAAAAACAGGTTAAAATTTAGTCAGCTATATCATTTGGGTAAGTATGGACAGATTTTTTTTTTAATTAAAACATATCGCGCTTTTTCAGTGTTGCAAGTAATGGGATCAAAAATTTCCCAAATTAGGTTCATTTTATAAATATGGAATGGGAACTATTTTTCGGATATAAATATATATATATATATATAAGTATGTACATATTTCTTACAAATTATTATACATATATTTTTTATTTTAACTATCAATTACCTAAAACCGAAAACATATTTTATGTCTATACTTAAATATAGATTAAAGTAAACAGATAATAAACACGATTACCAATCATTATGAACTGTATTATTTTCATTTTTCAATTTAACCTTATAATTTCTCCCACCACCTTATAACCCTACTCACGTAGTACTGACTGAGTTTTTGACGAAGCATTGGATATGGAGCCACTTTATCTATATAATCTAAGACAATTATCCAATATGCAATCAAAATATTATTTCTTTTTTCAAAACTCTTAATTCGCCTGTGTTATATATGTGTATTCTGTGAATACAGAATGACATGAGTGAATAGAGTTAACTCTCGTGTTGGTCCCATATAAAATTTATCATGTGTTTTCGACCCCTCTCTTTGTGTAAACTAGTACAGCACTAATTGGCTAAAAGCCACTATCATTGAGATCAAGCCAGTTACAATGAGTGGCGGTCTAATGACCAGCCGTGATCTCCGTGATGTCATGAGTATAAGAATGTCAATGCTTCACCTATTATTTTTATATAATTTATATATAATTAGATCGAGAAAGCTCAACTAGTTTCGGGATCAATTCGTGACCCTTAATCATGAGCAGCTGTGACGCGAGCGCGAGCGTCTACAGCTTCCGCTCAGCAGGCGGAGGCGTGCAGTCAGGCTTATGTCATAGCCGATCATTATTATGGGTCTGGAAACTAGTCGAGGCTTCTCGATCTAATTAGACGTAAGTTAAACCAGTAACGTATGCTTACGAAAATTTTAACAATAAGATATTTAAATCATTTTATATTTATATGCAATATATAATAATAAACAAATAACTATATCTGCAGAAAGAATTGGCGGGATATTTGTCATTTCATATTGAGTACAGAGATTTGTCTACATAACGTATTTATGTAGGTAATAATAATAATAAAAAAAAATCACTAAAACCCTAAGACCTACACAACTGAATTGAATATTTTGAGAAAACACCTAAAATTAAAATCCCGATGAAAATTAGACAGATTCGCTTTTTCGAAATCACTTAATTATGAATCTGGCCCTACCAAAAAATTTATTTTGCCCTACATTAAACTTGGGTCTAGCTACGGCCCTGTAGTTAAAAGCCTATGGCTCTTAAAACAAATTTTGGACGGCTTATATTATGCTTAACCAACTGAATTAAAATTAAAAAAAAAAAAAAACATAGAGTAATAGTCTTAAAATTAGTTGCCAACTTCTAATTACAAATTGGCATTCATAAATGCGATTTGATTATTTCTTGTATATTATTTTATATTTATAATAAGTTTACTATTGTAATCTTGTAATTATTTATATTTATAATAAGTTTACTATTGTAATCTTTTGGAGGAAACAATAAAGAGTATCTATCTATCTATGTATCTATTATAAAAGTGCGCCATTTTTTATTTTTATTTTTTATGCAAGGCTGAGGCTGAGTTTGCGGCTCACTTACTGACAAGAGACTACATCTTGCCTCTCTAGACCATCGTTTCTCAACCGGGGGTCGTGTTTGTTATCAAAAGGAGTCGCAAATAATAAGACTTCGAAATATTCGTTTAACGTAGCGATGCGCGACTTTATTAATCCGAGTACTGATTATTCGACTGAGCAATTCAATCGGATTATTCGAATGATTTTCAAATAATTCCATTACTAATTTCATTCACTACACGCTTCTACTAAAATTAGTAGCTAAAATCATTCATTAGTAGTTGTTCATGTACGAATTGGCGGGAATACTCTTTTTTTTATTTGTCGTCACTTGTTAAGGTAGTGGTGTGATAGTAGAAAACGGACTTAAAAAACAGACTTTAGGAAAAGGTCTGTAAAGAAGAAAAAAAAACAAAGAGTCTTTGTTTTCATTATTCTCATTGATTACTAATTAGTAAATCTCACAAGATTTACTACTTAACTTTTTGGCTGTTTCGTGAGTCGCGACATAAAAATGGTTGAAAAAAAATGCCCTATCCCTAAGGCATTTTTTTACTGTGCCCAGTATATATGCATATACTGAATAGATATTATACGGCATACCCTCGGTATTCTTGAAATTTTACTTTTCACTCGGATATTGATATATCCAAATCCAAAGTAAAATTTCCATACACATTTTTGTAAATCACACAAATTATTTAATTATCTATCACAACTAAAGGTGCGTAATATATAGCCATATGGGGTAAAGGGATTGTTAGTAATGGAGACTGAGAATCCCATTGCTAGCAATATACCCAACCAGGTCGACCTCCTCGCGGTTCTCCCTGAAAACTATCATGGTTAATTCCTGATGAATTCATCATGATGGGCTAACTGGCCTGTTTTCATTCTCATCTATCACCCTTCACTGGTGCTCCGCCAGCGTATCCCGTTAGCGCAGGCGGGGTTACCATACCATTTTCATCCATCAAAAAAAAAAACCAATTGCATGTTAATGCGAGCTAATATTTAATATTAATATATTATAATATATAAATTTATTTTGTGCATATTCTTGAGCATTATTGAATGTAATTTTTACGTTCAAATTATTAAATTTCTATAGAACAAAATTCTTATTTAGCTATTTAAACAGTATTAAATTTTCTTCTTAAATTTGTTTAAAATGTGTGTGATGTTACATTAATATGTTTAGAAATAGTATTAAGTATATCTGCGGCTAAAAACTCACTTTTTTAAATAAATCCAGGGCCCTATTTAGGGCGTCAGTCGGGCAAAAATTTAGTATGGGAGGTAAAATATGTTCACTGCGAGTTAACAGCAAATATTAATTTTTGCCCGGAGCGGCAATATAAATTAGTTATTGCCGCAAATGTCATATTTTACAGTTCTCATGAGCCGATTATTTAGTAAAATAAATAATATACAAAGACGTTCGTGTCGGTCTGTTTTTAGTCTATATATATGGCAATAATCCTTATCACGTTATAGAAACCTGTCAGTCCAGAATATGTTGGCGAAGATGCCCGCAATCATCAGCGAGAAGTATAACGTCACCGCTGCCCACCATAACCGTTTCTCCCATTTCCTCTTCTCCAAGTTACGAAGAACTCCTATGCCTACTAAGAGACCTGGAAAAAGTAAAATATTTTTTACAATAAGTGTTTTGTTTAATTGTCAACGAACTTAAAAATTGAGGGTTTTAATTCGACTATCTTTTTTTATATTGTTACATGGAAACGGTCATAAAACTTTCGCGGAAAGCAAGATATTTACAGCCTGTTGTATTTACTGAGTAGAACAAGATATGTACATATATTGTCGGTCGTCTATCACTTTATTACCTTGATTTAATTGTAAGACGAAAAGAATAAAAAAAAAAAAACAGTCAAAAAAGAAAAAAATCAATAAAAAAATGTCCTTCCTATTATTAATTATGATCGAAAGTACATTCGAAAATTATATTTTTCCCCTATTTTCCAGGAAACTGTTCTAATTTAAACCTTTAGATTATATAGATAGAGCATCGAACTTCACTTCGCGTCAACTTTTTGTCAGCTAATTGTCAAATCAGCTGACTAATTTTTTTTTATTGTTGTTCTATATATTTACGCACACAATATATCTTGACGTATCTATATTTAATTAATCAATAAATAAAATTACTTTTTGCGTCTTAAACAGACGCAGATTTTATAAGACAAAATAAATATAGAAGTTATAGAGGAATCACTCATAACTATATATTTATCACGCAAAATTGTATGTAAAAGTTGACCTGCATTTCTGTGGGGACACTCTATCTAATCTAAGTTTAAAACATAAAAAAAATAATAGCTAAAACAATTTAACTGTTTTCAAGTAATGCGATTATTTACCAATGAACGTCGTTCTATTTTTATTTATATATGTCGTTACGTACGCAAGCTAACTGAAACGAGCGTTATAATAATTTTGCAATAACAAAACGCACATGCGTACTACACACTACAGTTACGGGAGATAAAACATATAGGGCGAATAGGCTCCAGATAGAGCATATAATTTTAATATTAATTCGTGTTTTTATCAATATAACAATGTCTGAGCTCTTGTCCATGTAACATCGTTGAACCATAGCGGTTATCATTTGAATTTGATACTTATTTCAAAACGTAAAAGCACCAATTTCAATTATAAAAAAAAACAATGTTCTTATTTTAAATCCAATAGTACGTTCCGATATACGATAGTATGTTTCACTGACACATTAATTTTAAAATAATTTGAATATAGAACATGGAACTATGTATCCAATAGATTCAGCTTTGTACCAAACAGCATTTTGTTTTCAGAGAGAAATAGCTGCTTTAAGCGTGACAAAACGGTTCAACATAGACGAATATATCGTTAATTCTAAGAAAAAAAATACAGACAAATTGTGAATCTTCTCTCTTTTTAACCGATTTTAAAAGGAGGTTAAAATTCGATTGCATTTTTTATGTTTGTTACTTCATAACTGCATCAGTTCTAAATCGATTTGGAAAATTCTTTTTTGTCTGAAACTATGTACCTACTTAAAGATTGGTCCAATGTTTTTCGACCAAAGAAACTGGTTTTTTCACAACTGAAATCGGTTTTGTTGAGGTATAAAATCTTTAAATATAAAAGTCGCTTAAAAGTAACTTGGTATATATGTATTCCTTGTAAATATTTATATATATATATATATAACAAAAACTTACCAGCAATCGCGCCAGCCAAGTGTGCAACGTAACCGATATTCTGCTGCAAATGCCTCCAGTAGCGGTCGTAGACCGCGGTGCCGATGTCCACGCCGGCCAGCAGCAGGAACACGAGCAGTTGGATCACGGCGAACTCCATCTCGGTCCAGTTCTGGAATCATCATCGCCATAACGATACATTGCTAGGCACGGATAGCTTTCAACCTATTCTTAGTTTTCTTTCAGCTTCTCAAAGGTTGACTGTAAGAGATCTCTCTATGGGTTAAGTCCGCCATTGTATATTAAATCTTTTAATGTGTCCTATGTAAAATAAGTACAATAAGCGTCGTAATGAGGCGAATACAATATAATACATGAGTATACGAAGTACATGGCACAATGGAAAATATGATATTAAAGCCTTTAAGCCTAAGCCATAAGTCTAAGTCAGTTTTTGTTTTAATGGGTAATTATGGTATGGTAACCCCGTCTGCGCTATTGGTATACACTGGCGGGGCACCAGTGAGTAATGACAGATGAAGATGAAAGTAGGTCAGTTAGCCTATCCTGACGAATTAAATTAGAATTAGTCACGATGGTTTCCAGGGGGAACCACGTGGAGGTCGACCTGACAGGATATATTGCTAGTAATAGGGCTATTTGACCCTATTACTAACAAGCCCTTTCCCCCCAGTCTAAGCCAGTTAGGCAGAGTGATATTGGCTTAGGTAGTAGGGGTAGGTAATCCTCACTGTTGCTGTTCTAGGTTGGTATGGTATCTACCTGGTTGGTATGGTTAACCATTACTGAACCATTACCATGGCTGTGTTTCGGTTTGAAGGGTGGGATATGGCGTGAATTTACTGGGTATAGAGGAATAACATCTGAGTCCTCAGGAATGACAACGCATGGGGGGTATCATGAGCGAAATAGTATACTCTGTTATGTCCATGGTACTGCTCATGTCTATAGGCGACGGTTACCACTTTCCATCAGGTGGGCCGTCAGCTTGTGTGCCATTTTAAGTTGTACAAAAAAACTGAACATAGGGTTCTTCCACTAGGGGGATTTTGCCAGTAGTTGCCATGCTTGGGAGACAGATTGGCAACCGCAGTTAGGCGTTGGTAATGTTTTATAAGGGACGCTGCTACTAAGGGAGCCTAATGATTGAAGACCGGGTCTTCAATCATTAGGCTCCCTTAGTTGCCTTTTACGACATCCACGGGAAAGAGAGGGGTGGCCCATTCTATGGCGGGACTATATGGCAATTGGTTTGTACTATACGGTATTATTTATAATAAAAAGACATTTACCATAATAATAGTAGCTATATGTGCCGCAATCAACGCATACACTCCTCCTGACGCTCCTGCAAGGTACACCTTCGGATCTGTGAGGCTCGTTGCTAGGGACCCGGCCGCGACCCCGGCGAGGTACACCAGGGTCACGCGCCACCATCGGTGTACCATCTCGAGTGGCACACCGAGGAACAGCTGGACTAGTAAGTTGACTAGCAAGTGGACAACGCTGGAAAAGACGGCAAGAATTTGGCTGAATTGTTTTTAACCATTTTTTATGCGATTTAAAAAAGAAGATTTTTTTTATGACACAGGGCGCAAACGAGCATGCGGTTCATCTGACCACCGCTGCCTATGATCACCCGTAACACCAAAAGAAATCGCAGGTGTGGTGCCGACCTTTTAAAAAGGAATATACTCTTTTCTTGAAGGTTACGTTGTCGTATCGGTTCGGAAATACTGCTGCTGGAAGTTGATTCCAAAGAGTGGTTGTGCATGGAAGAAAGTGCGTGGAAAAACGAACGGTGGAGGACCGCTGATTAGTTCTCGATTACAATGTAATTTTTTGTATGTATATGTTATGAGATATCAGCTACATTTACGTTAGTTGTAAGCCGATTTTGATTATTCTTTTTTAACAACGATAGGGTTTTCAACCGTATTCATTCTATATTAATTTTGTCACTATGAAAGTAAAGACTCGTGCTCACGTCACAGCCGTTCATGATTAGTCCCGAATAATGCCGAAACTTGTCGAGCTTTCTCGACCTAGACCAGAGGGAGACTTTGTACAAAAGTCGATTGCTTGGGTACCTCTGTCCCATTCGTGTTTCTACCATGATGCAGTTGTGTTTGCATGGCTGTGTTTCGTTTTGAAGGGTGGGATATGGCGTGAATTTACAGGGTACAGAGGAATAACATCTGAGTCCTCAGAAATGGCAACGCATGGGGGGTATAATGGGCGAAACAGTATACTCTGTTAGGTCCACTGTACTGCTCATGTCTATAGGCGACGGTTACCGCTTTCCATGAGGTGAGCCGTCAGCTTGTTTGCCATTCTAAGTTGTATAAAAAAACCTACATAACTTACTCCGCAGGGTCTAAGAAGAAAAAAACTTACCCGACATGCACCAACATGTAGGTCAAGAACCGCCACGCTTCGTGCCTCTTGTGCGGATTGTAAATGAAGATCTGTGCGATGGGTCCGTTGGCGTCGGTCTTGCCTAGCGACGCGTCGTAGCAGAAGAGGGCGATCTCCACTAGGGATATGAGGATCATGCACACCGCTGGTGGCCAACATGTGTACTCCTCCTCGTAGGTGCCGTCTGTGTACGTGAAGATAGTTGTGCTACGGGGGTGGGCTGACATTGACGAAACACAATGGGTGCAACGGTGGGAATTGGTCACGGGAGTTGGGAAGTGAGGAAGGTATTAAAGTTATGTTTTTGATTTTTTTTTCAAGGATAAGAATTCCATTGTCATAGTAGCCATTATACGAATTTTTTTTTTATTAGAAAAAAGTTATCGGCCATAACAGATTTTTAAGAGTAATTTTGAAATTAATTGGTTATTGGTTAGAAACACAATAGAAAATACATTATTTGATAATTTTGCATTTTTATTGAATAATTTAATGATAAATGTAATACAAAGGTTATCAATATTATTAACGTCATTAAAATAGTTTACGTAAATACGATTATAAATATAGTAGAAATTTGAAAGTATATAATAAATTTAAATTGTTTGATAGTTAAGATTTATTTATTTATTTTATTTATAAGAGAACGTTATAAATAGGCAGGACAGGAATAGATCACGCGTTATCGGAGTGGCACGGCGATGACATGGCCCGGCCGCAATTATCAATTAAGAAATCGTTTTGAAAGCGAAATGTGAACATTAATTGAACAATAGCATAGAGACGGGGTCATATGTCGTGCGAGAGCACGGGTTTTATTAGACGTCGAATTAAGTAGGTAGTTTTATTTGGGGAAAAGGATTGTGGACAAAAACAAAACAATAGGGGGAGAGACAAAGAAGAAAATAGTTAGTCATCTGCATGCAAATTTTATTCCACATATTTGTATGTTAGTTATAGTAAATTTGACAGGATTGTATGGAAATCTTTGCGATTCTCTGAAGCAGAGGTTGAGGGCACAGAAAGTTAATGTATTAAAAATTACAAAACTATGTAAACAGATGTGAGGAAACAATCTCTAATTTTTTGTATAACAAAATATTTTCCACGACTTTCTTGTCTATTGAGTGAAATTTTCCATTTTTTTATTTTTTTAGACATAAAATGAAAATGCTTCTGTTCAGAGAATTGCAATGACTTTTCTTAAAAAATATTCATATATTTTGTAAATGTGTATAATTTATGTTTTTTTTTTATTAAAGATATAATCGAAACTGATTTTATGTGGATAATTAAGTTTTTGCCATATAGTAATAATAATATTAATAAATCTTTTATTTTTAGGTATATACCCATAGTTTACAGTTACAATTTTTACATTTATATATTATACAAACTATTATTATATAATTAAATTATACATTATTAATAAAATACCAATTTAAATAATTTTATTATACATTTCCTTGTCGATATAAAATGGACAAAGATTTAAGAAAAAAAAAAGAAAAACTAATTACGCTTATAAAACCAGTTTTGTAATTCTTTTATTTTACAAATATAATGTTAAAATAACAAAAAAATATTCAGCTATAATTTATTGTAATATGAAATCCCAATGTATAGTTAATATAATGCTTGTGATAATATAAACTATGTCATTTATTAGTCACAATTTACTAATAGTACATAATAAATAATGAAATATAAGTACGTAAGTATACTTCCAAATAAGTCCAATTCTGCATAAATATATCGTAGTAATTAACAGATAATACATGCTCATTCCTAATATTACTTCTGTTGTTATCTTTTTATTAGTTATAATTTAAAATAAATATGTATATTTGAAATTTGCTGTTGCAATATACATACTTACAATAGAAAATAAGGAAAATAAATGACTTAATTTGTTAAGGTATTCATTTATTTTAAATCTATGCAGAATTAGACCTTTTGGACGTACCCAATTATTTACATGACCTCATATTGAAGCACGTATACTATTAACCACAACCTTGAACCCGCCACCTTGAATTTAATAAATGATCCATGCAGATGTATATACAAAAGGGACAGATTATGATCGACAGACAATTAGACTATGAAAGTCCAATGTTGTCTGTTGCAACCACATAAGAGTACAAATCCAAGACATAAAGTTGCAATTACGAGGTGACCCTTAAAAACGTTGATAAAACACGAAAAACATACCAAAGTATTCAATGACCTTATTCTTATATCTCAAAATTTTATGCCATAATTTCGTACACTCAGTTTTTTTCTTGGATCTAAAAACATCACTAGTCCACTTGTGTGCGTAATACCACATTTTGACCAAACAATAACGTTCACGATAATACTTGGCAATTGTAAACACATTAAAAAGTATTTACAGTCCCATTAATATTGTCACATTTTCGTTTAGTATTTTACCTGCTACATTATGTCAACGATTTATATTTATTACTTTGATTTACTATTTAAAAAAAAAAGTTTTAAAACGTAATCTAATACGCAAGTCAAGGCCGATCGTGTACGGTGAACGTGCGGCCAACGCTGGTCAGTGGTAAACTATGGGGGGGAAACCTCGAGACCCTTGACGTCCCGCGACAGTAGGCGAATGGATACGCTACGTCACAAATGACTGGACCTAGGATGCGTCTATAGACGAGTAATAAAGCAGTCAATTATGCGTTAATCCGACATCTCGTGTTATGTTACTGACCGCAATAAATTCTGGTCCACTGTAGCCAGCGAGATAATGTCTAGTTATAGTGTTATTTTGCGCCACAATTACATTTCCGGGTACAGCATACGAGCAGGATATTTTGCCACTCGAGCTTAAAATAAACAATTGCCATCATTTATATGGTCTTTCTAAGGTGGCATACAAGCATACGGTTCACCTAATTGTACCGGAACCTAATTGGACACTTGAAGTTCCTAAGGGCATTTGCCCAATTGGTGCCTCCTAGATTAGGCCCTGCCAGATATAATAACAGGATATTTTCTATACTTAGTTGAATGGAAATCGAATGGGAATATCAAACTAGATTAAGGTTCAATAAAACATGAGTGTCGCCTAAGAAAAACAACTCTGTAGGTATGTATCTTTGCAAAATGTACTAAGTTGATTATGGCACTTCTCTTGACTGTCAGCACACCTAGGGACTTATGTCTTATTTCATTTGTATTAGATATTGCATTAATAATTCTACATTTGAAACTGAAACGATAACACTGGCTTAACTGGGACTTTGAAAATTTTGGAAACAGATCCATTGTTCTGAGGTATAAACAATACATTATGTTTACTCAGTAATTGTTACAGCACTTTATTTGGTTCGTAAAAGCAATCTATGCATCATTATTTTTTATAAGTGAGATTCATAGCTGATTTCATTTTTAAAACAAAAATGTCGATTTTGATAAAGCTTGGCATAAAAATCTAATATGATTACATCAATTGGCCCTCAAATTAGGGTACTATATATAACTCAAACTGCAAACATTCCAGTATAAAACTCAGTACCCCAACAAACGTGCGACCTAGTTATTTTCTTTTTAGAAATAAATATCGGTTGGAAAAAGCGCCTGTAGAAATAAAACGAGCAAATTTATAATGGCGTGTCATAATTACAATTGACATACGACCTTTGACATTTGCTATTTAATTTAATTTTAATCCTTACATACATTATAAAGGGAAATGGAGTTTACATTTTACATACACACGATAAAGTGACAAAGCAGAATTTATTACTGCATAATCTGATACATGAACCAGTATGTATTTATGCAAGTTTTGTAACAAATAAATATTAATAAAAGAAAAAAGAAAACGCAAAATAAAATCCTATATTAAACCATTTCAGGCTATAGTGATAAGGTAACTAAAGTACATGTAAGGAATCCCAGCACTCGTTATTATCAGGGACTGATTTAGCAATTTTGCCATTCTGGGTAAAAAATATTTTGTGCTTTTTATAACTAACGGCTGCCCTCATTTTTGCCGATCTGGGCAATTCCCTGCCAAGTTTTATAAAACTAGACAGGCAATTACCCAGATTGCGAGTACGGTCTGAAGACTTGATCTGCAAGTGTGCCCATTTGATATCCGTTAAGGTAATGCTTGTGCCCTTGCGGCCAGCCTCTATTTGCCCTATGTGTGTAATCAACTAAAAATAAATAAAACTCCGACTTTACCCACGTATTGCGTGATCCGTCTGCGTGGACTTCGATGAACTAATAATCTGATTAGTAGCATTTAACTGCGTTAATACATCTTGAATAACAATGCATCTGTTAATTCTCATACGGCTTGGAATGTTCGCTACGAAATAAAGTATTATGTGTCGTTTCATTCAATCAATCAAAAAGTCATTTATACATATAAGATTATGATTATTATTAAAAATTTATGATACGTTTTTCGTAAATTATATACTCCTAGTTCTATACAAAAATTTTACTCTACTGCGATCGAAACAAGCTGACAATAAGGGAATTTATTCTCACACCCTTGAACCTAAATGGTTACATTCATTGCGGTTTCAAAGAAATTTTCTCCTGTGAACACTCTCAGGCTGTGGAATGAGCTCCCTATTTTCCCTAAAGACTACAGTACTGTGTTCTTCAAAAAGGCTATATTAAAGTTTTTCCAGGATCGGCAATGCGTACGTGACACCCCTAGTGTTGCAAGCGTCCATAGGCTACAGTGACCGTTTACCATCAGACGGGCTGTATGCTTGTTTGTTGTCTTTGTGGTATAAGAAACAAATAAGAAAAAGTTGTTATCGATGAAATTCGGGTTGTTAAATCTGTTACACCTTTAAACATACTGTTAAACAATATTACTCATTTCGTGCCCTATTTAAGAGCTGCACTCTTGTCGGTGGAACTCTTGCCACGCACTACGATTTTCAGCAAACTTTACTATAGACAAAATATACTTTGCCCTCCGTGGCAACCTTAATACGTCCCTGTTCCGAATGAGTACACAAAGTAATAAACGTGAGTATATTATATTGTAAAAATTCTCTCCGACATAATAATTTATCATGTTTTCTTATTTATTTTACAATACAGTAAGTGATAACAGTTGCATGTGTACATAAAAACAATGGACAACAAAGATTACACTGTGTCGCACGTGACGAGACGTTCATGCGTTGGCATCGCGTCGACAGCTAAGTACAACGAAGATATTTTGTTATA